AATCTCCTTAACCAACAATAAATATACTCTACCTGAATTTCTGGGAAAAGTAGACACATTACAATTTTAATTCTCAGGCTTATGGAAAACCTAATAAAAAGATACTTGTGCTAAAACAGTAGAAGTATGCAATTCTGCTATATGGAATAGGAGAATGCATGTATTACGTGTTATATGTTTGTTTTGGTAGCTGTGTGTTCAGTTGTGTGGTGTTATGATGTCAGAGTTGAATAGGATTAAAGTCTTAGAGGTGATATATGTCTTGCTTATTTAAGGAAACTTTCATGACTTTTCAAGTTTAACGAGAAATATGGAAGTATTATTTGAGGACTGAAGGATTATATGACCTTGAACACTGACAAAAGGTAATATAAAAATAAAGAATTTTTGCCTTCTGAAAAGTTACATTTCTTTGTGCCAAAATGCAAGATCTGTAAGTGCCACAGAGACTTTAAAACTCTGCTTGACAAGATCTGAATTAATAAAGTTTGATTCATGAAGTCAAATACAATACTTTTGTTATGATCATTAACTGAAAATTAATATGAATCTTTCTTGCATTGTATGGCAATCTGTCAGTTGGGTTCTTACGAGGGGAACAAACAATTTTATGGGGGCCTTTCAGCATATTGTAGAAAAAGGCCATGTTCTTCAAGGTTTTTGCTTTGTAGGGCTAAATTTCAAGCTACTTTCTCTTTTATTGGTTCTTGAAGACAACAGTTAGTATTGTTCACCATGACAGAGCTTGAGAAATGCAAAGTGAACTGTAGTATTTTTAGATGCAGAAGTTTTAGTTGAATTCATTGTCTCTCTGCTGTAATGAAGGACTAGCTAGCTGTGCTCACAAACATTCTCTACAGGCTATGTTATGGCTCCCTGTGTTTCTGTAATTCTAAATACCAAGCTCAAAATACAGAGGTAGAGCAGACAAAAGACCTGTTGGTTCAAGCTTGGTTCTCTCCATCTTTCAAGGGAATATATGCTACTTACTGTCTGCACAGGAAGGGAAGATGAAACCTTTTTGTTCATGATCATGAAGACTGAATTTTTAGAGAGATTTAAAGCTATAGGCTTTTTTTAAAAGTATTTCTTATTAATTTAATACTTAGGAGGTCAACTCAGGTAGTGAATCCGTTGTTGCTGATGAAACCTGTTATATTTTTTGATTTTTAGTATCTCTAGGATCTATTTGCTAACTTTGCACAGTATGAAAAATAGATGGTGCCTTTCAGTTGTACTTGATATTAATAAATATCACACATCTTGGGAAAACCTTAGCATTAGAAAATAAGAGGAGAGAAGTTAAATAAGGAAGTAAGAGCATTTACATGCACGTATTTCTGTGCTGTTTGTAGCATGACAAGTGTAGTCTGTCCTTCAAGTGTTGTGCAGGAAAATGGCTCAGAACACTTGTGCAAATGCTGTTGAGAGGCAGGAATTGGAAACAGAATTGTCTGCCTGGTCCCTCTCATAATTATGAATATTGAAGTCAAAAGTGGATGTAAGATAATACAAAAGTTATCGGGGAAAAAAGCATTTACAACATATCCCATTAAGTTAATTGTGGCAGTTACTTGAGCTCAGGAAGCTTTGAATTCTGAAGGCTTTCCACAAAGGGAGCTTGCAACTTCATACCGGGAATGAGCTTTTAGTACTTTTATTACTTTTTTTTTTTTCACCAAGTAGAAAGAAAATTTGTAAAGATTTTTTTTTTTTTTTTTTTACCCAATGCTTGTGAGAACCAATCTGTGTTAAAAATGTGTCACACTGTAAATGAAGCCACCTAAGCTTGATGCAAATTTTCTTGTGTTCAAACACATTTTGGAGAACAGAGCTGAACTTTTATCTTTGCAGTGTATTCCTAAGAGATTTTGTGTGCTTTGACTGTCTTGAGGTTCAAAGGGCAAGTCCATACTGAATTCTGTATAACAAAAAAACCCTCTGTTTATGCTTTTATCATGCTTTTGGAAAGCCTGTTTTTCTGTGTTTAACTGAAGCTGGAATTTTATCTAGTAGTGATCAGGAGTTATGTCCCTGTATCCTTCTTGCTGTTTGTGCCTGCTGCTGTCCACTAGTTCTGTACCTGCAGTATCACAAGAGTATGCTTATACCACAGTTAGAAGTGTGCATGAGGTTTATAGAGGTAAACCGAGCTAATTTTAAACTGGTAGCTTGGGTTTTAGCAGAATAGGAACTGAAAACATTTTGGCAAGGCTGGCTTGCCCTAAATGCAGAGCTGTCATAGCAGTGTGGCTGTTGGTCTGCAAACTGGTTGTTTAAAGCAAGCTCAGATTTACCAAGCTGTGCTGCAGTCACACTTCTCAGAGCTGTGTAATGATAGTCAGATGTAGATATTGTGCGTGGGCAGCTTCTAGTGGGCTGCTAAGGAAGCTGTATCTGTTGGGAAGACAGGACTTGCTTGGCTGCTTGTTTGCTTATCAGATGAAAGAATTCAGATGTAACTCTGTTTCTTGCTGCCTGCATAAAAGGGGAAGGCATCTGGTCGTTTCTTTTTTGTTTTAGAGCAACAACTATTTTATTAAGTACTTTATCAGGTAGAATTAAAATAATTGAAACAGAAACAATAAGATCTGCTGATTGATGAAAACAAACGCAAGTAGTAGTCTGTATTACCAAGATCAAAGTCCCTGTTAACTGTTCCTCCCTTGCCGCAGCTGTATTTCAGGTGTGGGGGCTATAGCAGACATATAAATTAGTTTTCATGATTATTTTATTGCCCAGGTAGCCTCTGTTAGATTAAATTTGCGTGCAGGACAACAGCTACTTTTTAAAACTCATACAATCCATTGTGGCTGCGTGTGCGGGTATGTGCATACGTATACATGTACACAGAGAACATACTTGTGTGGTTTCTAGGTATAGGATTTTCTAGGTATAATAGCACAATACCCACCTATCTAACAAATTACAGGTTTGACCTCACAAGCTGAGGTTCTAGCTCAAGTACTGTGACAGTGCTTGATTTTGTACGTGCTGGAATGCCTGCATCTTCCACTGGCTACTGTTAGAACTGTAGGTGTTGAGAACATTTTAATATTAGTTTATCAAATAGAAGCATAGGCAATCTGTGGAGCAGTTCACATAGGTATTTGACACACAAGGAATTAGAGTTTCCAGTATAGTCTTTCATAAAAAGTTTTTCCAAGGATCTACTCATGTGAAAGAGATGATTCCTTAAAATGTGTTTATTACTTGACATAATGTGGTAAATGTTTCATATCCACAGTCCCTGTATACATTTTTGTCATTAGAAAAATTCATTTTCTGGGATATATATATATATCTGTCTCTTATACACATC